GTAATTTGATCAAACTTTGAGTTTAATCTTTTTTTTGTACTATTTTCACATTTATCTGCTCAGTCAAACCTAAATTCAATCACTTTCTGATTGTATTAACAGTTTCAGCCATTCATATTGTTTAATTATTGAGCATTTTTTATTACTTAACCCATCTTTAAGTTCTATTTTCTGCACATTTGCTGTGTTTGTTCAGACTTCAGTTCCTTCCTGGAGTTTACAGAACGTCACTGTTTGTTTTTCTGTGTTGGATCATTAAAGTGGTGATTTTTTCCCTCATCTTAAAGTTTCCTGCTGATTCTTCTTTGCCGGTTCCTTTAATCTGTTTCACAGTTCCTGTTTTGTGGTGAGCAGTGTTGGGCTGGGTTTGGGCTTCAGGGGCGGGGAGACGCTTCCTCTGACCCATCAAGACTCCTCTCCACGTAAGCTCTGCCGTTTCTGCTCTTATTTTAAGGGGGAAATGCAGCTGTTTCTCAGTCTCTGCTCAGCTGATGCTGCATCTGCCCCTTAAGAGCCGGAAAAGCCAGATTCTGCTGCTCAGCTCGTCTGAAAAAGCCTGAAACTTTGAGCTGGAGACGCTTTGGCTCCATCTCACCAGAGCCACAAAATACCAGAGTGCAAAAAGTCAAAGTAAAGAGACATTTTAAAGGTCCGAACCCGAAGAAAAACGCAGATTATTCTCAGGAGAAGACTTTAAAAACGATTTCTCAGAGTTCGGTTTGCTCGGCTCAGCTCTGTTTCCTCAGACGTGACAAAAGATTTTCCTTTTTCCTCAGCTGCTGCAAAGCAAACTAACCCCAAATGTTCATGTTTTGAGACGCTTTTTCTTCCAGGCATCTTAAAATGTGTGTCTGAAGAACAGGGGCAGCAACATGGTGAGTGAACTTCCCTCTCCAGACATTCAGAAACACTTTTCCGGTGATTCCACGGCTGGATTCGGGTGCTTGAAGCTCTAAATCATTTTTTTTTTTGTCCCGATTAGACTGTGAAATGAAGCCAGAGCGTGGCGACCTGATGGAGATCTTCAGGGGCCCTTACAGGCACTGGGCTGTGTATGTTGGTAGAGGCTTC